CACACACACACACACACACACACACACACACACACACACACACACACACACACAGTGGGGAAACATGCACACCAGAGTTGATTTTGTTTTATGAAATTGAATATATACTATATATGAAGTGCTGTATCTTGTTCTTTTATTATTTTATGGTTGTACAGTCCATCTTCATCAAGTGACTAAATTACTATTCACCCATAATTTATACTAGATTTTTAAAGGTCTTTTTCTTTACATTTGCCATTTTAATCCACCTGAGATAAATTTTATTGCATGGTGAAATATGAGTTTTTTCCAAATAGCCCCAATTTCCAACCCTATTTGTTGAACAATTGTTTCCTATTGATTTTAGATGATTCTTTTATTGTACAGAAAGATGTAATGTGTAGTATTTCAAGGCTGGCTCTTTTGTTTGTTAATTTACCTACTTATTCTTGTGCCAGCCCCACATTGTTCTAAATATAACAGATTATAATACACTTCAGCGTCTTAGAGGCAAGTTCTTCCTCATCATTCCTCTCCAAAATGTTTTTAGCCACTCTCACCGGATCTTAGTCCCAGATAAATAATTAAAATGTTTATGTTAGTTAATGACTAACAGAAAGCCCCTAAGAATTTTTATCGGTATGAGATTAAAACTATAAATTATTTGAGGAAGAATTGGAATATGAGAACATTTACTATACTGAGTCTTCTCATCCAGAAATGAGTTATCTCACTTTATCTGGGCAAATGTACTTTTTATATGTTTCTGTAAAGTTTCTAGTTTCCTTTATGTAAGTCAAGCACACTTACTAAATCCAGTTTATTTTTTTAAAAGTATTGTAAATAGAATTTCCCCCCATTATATCTTCTCATTGGTTACTAATGATAAATAGGAAAGCAATTTTTTTGGTATAATTTTCTTTTATCTGGCTTCTTCCCTGAACTCAATTATTTAAAAAAAGTTTTCAATGCTTTGGGCTTTTAAAGACTATAATTATATCTTTCACTTAATGATAATAATTTTGTTGTTTCTTTTTCTGCAATTATTCCTCTTATTTTTGCTCTATTCCCCACTGGTTTGGCCAGAAGAATATAAAATATAATGTTGCTTTTAAGAATCCTTGTCTTGAGTATTTTATCAATATCAACGACCCACATTGTCCTTTTAAATGGTTCTTGCCTTCAATTCATCTTTGTTTGAAATTTGGATCATCTTTTTACTTTTAATCTTTCTATATAATTTTATTTTAAGTGCCTTTCCTGTAAGGAATATATAATTGGATATTTTCATTAAATTCCAGAATATCTTGAATAAGGAAATATAAGTTATTTATATTTATGGTAATAATGAATACACATTTTTTTCTGTCATTTTGTTTTATAGTTTCTTGCTAGTTAAAAAAATTTGTCTTGCGGGCCGGCCCGGTGGCGCACTGGATAGTGCGCCGCTTGGGAAGCGCGGCAGCGCTCCCGTCCGAGGGTTCGGATCCCACGTACAGACCGGCTCCCGCTCACTGGCTGAGCGAGGCGCGGGAGCAACGCCGAGGCTTGCGATCCCGTCGCCGGTCCCCAGTCCGGTACGGGGGCAACACTGAGGGTTGCGAACCGTTGCCGGACATGGAAAAAAAAAAAAAAAAAAAAAAAAAAAAAATTTGTCTTGCAAAATAGGTTATGTTTTCTTTGCCTTTATCTTTACTTATTCAAAAGTCCTTTATTCCACTTTATGTTTTATCTGGATTTAATTCTAAATTTAAAAAAATTCTTTAATAAGAATTTTACTTTTACATATTACTTTTATATTTATAAACAAATCTGTTTTATGACATGCCTGTATTTATAATATTTAAAGTCAAAAAATGAAATGGGCTCTCTCTGCCCCTTCCTGTGTAGGATGAGATTGAGCCAATCAATCCTTTCTCCTGGCAATTGCCACCTCTTGGGCTTTGTTTATATAATTTGCAATTAAAGTTGTAGCATATGGTAGTTATATATTATTATTTCTTACATCATCTATCTTTTATTTCAAGTAAGGTCTTTTGACATTTGCGGTTATTTTGTTAACATATTGAAAATAACACATTTATTTAGACTTAACTCTAGACTTAATTGGTCTCTGTGTTCAGCACCAGTCCTTTTCAATAATGGCTTCCCCATTTTTGATTTTCCAATTATGCATCTTCAAATAATTTTTTCCCAATGGCACGTGACGAGTAGATACTCTAAACCCTGGGATGTCTCTGTGTGTCATTCATCAGTCCTCATTAGCTGTGCAGTAGGAAGGGGGAGGGGTTGGTTGTCTTTCCTGTTTTTCTCTTGCACTTCTCTCTTCTGAGGTTTGCTGGGTAGTTTCTGAATTCCAGGCTGGTGGTGGGGTAGTTTTGGGGGAGTATTAGAGAGAGAGGTCTTATGTGATCAGGCACTTATGGAATATGATTTCATGTTCTCTGAGCCTAGCAGATGGTTCAAGGCTGCTTCTTTGTCTTGGGGGCAATTTCATGGTTTCTCTTGGGAGTCCCATTGAGGCGCCTCTCATCTGGAGCTTTCTTATCTTGGGAGGATGCATTTCTAGCCTGAGTGGTCACTTGCAGTTTCTCCTGTAGCCCTTAGGATATGATTTCCATCTTCAGCCTTTTGCTGCTGGAATTTTGGGTCTTCATAACTCAGTACTCATACAACTGAAGGATGATGACCCCTAAAGGCCAAGGATGCACCCTAAAGGATGCCCCCTAAAGGTCAAGGTCCAGGATGACCCAGAGCAGCTCTCTGTCTCTTGGCTCATGCCACAAACCAGAACAGACTGATTCCAGCACAGCCACCATTATTCTTCTGCTTCCAGGTACTTAGTTTCCTCAGATTCAGTATTGGACTACTGTGACTTTGATAATTGAGCCTGATTCTCTCAACAATGGGATACCTCACATCCTGTGATAGCCAGCATCTTCTGCCATGAGGATTCTCACACATAGCACTTGTTGATATCTCAGATCCTATGAAGCAATTTCATGGTTTCTTGGAGGGTCTTTTCTTAGTCTGTTTTCTATCACTTATGACAGAATACCTGAAACTGGATAATTTATAAAGAAATTAAGTTTATTTTTTACAGAACTGGAGGCTGGGAAATACAAGGTCCAGGGGGCGCATCTGGTGAGGGTCTTCTTACTGGTGGGGACTCTCTGCAGAGTTCCTGAGGCAGTGTAAGGAACCGCATGGCTAGAGGGCAAGAGCATGTTCATGTGCTAGCTCAGGTCTGTCTTCCTCTCCTTATAAAGCCATTAGTGCCATGCCTGTGATAACCCATTAATCATGTCCCAATGGATCCACCTTTCAAATGCCATGGTTGGGTTTTCCCCCTCTTAATACTGTTACATTGATTATTAAATTTCAACATGAGTTTTGGAAGGGACATTCAAACCATAACAGGTCTCTTACTCATAGCGTTCTCATTTTGGGAGAATGCATTTCTAGCCTGCATGATCGCTTGCAGTCCTCAATACCTACTCCTTGCTTGGAGACCCGGGGGCCTGACTGACTAGACAACTGAGCAACCATCCTTCAGTTGTATGAGTACTGACTTATAAAGACATTTTTTCTTCATCCGTTCCTTGCCCACTTTAAAACCACATGACAGGAGGTTGGCAGGGTGGCTGGGGGAGGTTTGTGTTATGGCTGGAGGAGGTTGGTGTTGTGTGCCAGATACTGCTATGTGCTTTACTTTGACTATTTTGTTTATTCCTCAGTACTTGGGAGTCTAGTATTTCCATCTATTGATAGGAGGAAAATGAGAATTAGGAGTTAAGTAACTTGTCTAAAGTCATACAAATGCTAAGTGCTGGAGACAGAATCATAAGCATAGTTCCTTCTGATGCCAAAAATAGGTGCCCTCTTTTTAACCCTGGCTGCATAATAGTCACCAAGGGGCTCTAAAAATTCCAGTTTTCTGGTACCCTCCATGGAACAATTAAATGAGAACCTCTGGAGATGGATCCTGGTCATTGGTATGTGTTAAAAGCTCCCCAGGTGATTCTGATGTGCAGCCAAGTTTCAGATCACCCTGGATACATCCTCAAGGCAGTGGCGTTGTTAAACATTAACCCTGTATGGTACAGCTTTATTCATATGACTTCCCCCATTGTGTTTCGTTCCCTTTCAAAAGTCAGAGAGTGCGTGGTTGCCCGTCTATATCAGAGCTGGCATTCCAAATCAGATTCCAAGGGCTGCATTCATGGCCATGTTTATCCTGGAAGTGGATCAGTTCATCCTGACCTCTTTGACCACATCAGTTCTGGACTGCGAAGAGGATGAGACCCCCAAATCTTTGCTGGTGTTCAACATTACCAAAGCCCCGCGCCAGGGCTATGTGACTCACTTGTTGGACCACACCAGACCCGTCTCCTCATTCAGCTGGAAAGATCTCAGTGACATGCAGATTGCCTATCAGCCACCAAACAGCAGCCACTCTGAGAGGAGACATTATGAGGTAAGAAGAGAGGCAAAGCTTCTAGCCTAGTTGGTATTTATGTAGTTATTGAAAAGGCCACTGCCATTACCCTCAGGTTCGTCTATACATTCGTTGTCTCAGAATAGAATCAATCGCTGTGAATCAGGATGCAAACTAGATGCTCAGAATGAGCAAACCCACCCACGGGACACTGTGCCAAACCAAAGAGAGACCCTGCACCTCAGGAGGCAGCCACTGCTCAGCTCGGGCTGGCTGCAGCCATGTGGGAGCACAGAGGGCCCCAGGTTGCTACACTCTCATTGTCAAGAGAAGTTCGAAGTCTATATGTACGTGTGTGTATATATATATATATATATATTTTTTAAATGTCTGTTTTTTTTTTAAAGTCTGTTTTTAATATAAAAAACATAACTAAAAAATTTAAAACATTGTGCTAGCTACAAAATATTTCTGAAAGCCACATTTGGCCCAGGGCTCACCAGTTTGAGAACTTTGATGCCCTCAGCTGCCTTCCTGTATTACATAATCTGTTCAAGTTAGTTAGAAGTAAGTTTTGTTTTCAATTCTTTTATTAATAAATTCTTTTTTTTTTGTTTGGGAGAGCTTTTTATGAGGGTTTAACTAATTAATTAATTCTTAACTTTAGTTAATAACACTGACTCGGTAGAAGATTCCACAGTCTCATTTGATCACTAATTTCACTATCAAACACTTTCCATCAGGAAAGTCCTCCTTCTATCTGATCTAAATCCCTTCTGTGGCAGGTTCAGCCTCTTTCTTCTGGTTTTGTATCCAGTGGGAGTCACAGTCTTGCACATAATAACACTTTACATTCTTAAATGCCTACCAGCAAGTTGATGCAAACAGGATGGGAAAAGGTAAATGAGCAGATTGATGCAGACTTGAGTTCAGGTTTATTAAGGAAAACGAGTGTCCCTGGGGTTACCGAATTGTACTCCATGTAATTGAGGCATTTTCAGCATTTAGCCTCAAGGGCAAGCAAAAGACCGCAGACTGTAAATGCTGTGCTTTTGCCCTTTGCTTTTGTTTTCTTCCCTTCACAGTAGTACATGGCTCCTGGTTTTTCTTTCCTTCTGTCACTTCTCATGCCTTCACTGTTATGAAGTAATTTCTCATTATGTGTTCAGTTTGACCTCGAGCTCACAAATGAAGCATGCAGATTCTGACGCTATTCTGACTGCTTCCAGTGTGAATTTTCCGGCATCGTATAATTTAATCTTAAAGCAGAACCTGTCCAAATGTGCGAATTTTCGTTAGACTTTATTTTCTCAGTAGAGATCATGCACTTTTCCGATTCTGTGGGCTGGAAGCTGTGGGCTGAGGGCCCAACCTAATACATATTTACATTATACCTTCAAAAAAGACATCTCCTGGGCCGGCCCGGTGGCGCATTCAGTAGAGTGCGGCGCTTGGGAGCGCGGTGGCGCTCCCGCCGAGGGTTTGGATCCCATATAGAGACCGGTCCGCTCACTGGCAGAGCGCGGTGCGGGCGTGACATCGATCCCGTTACCGGTCACGAAAAAAGACAAAAAGGAAAAAAAAAAAAAGACATCTCCTGCCCAGTAGAGTTTTGTTTTTGGCCTGTTACTTTGTCACCCTTGAATCTGTTTCTTTCGTATTCTGTATTTGCTGATGCATTGCTGCCTGATCATTTCTCTTATCTGCTCCATCGGACCACACATTCTCCAAATGTAGGCAGCATGCCTTCATTTCTGTGTTCTACCTCATCCTTCTCTGTCAAGATCTGGTGCAGAGGCTGGCCAGTTGCTCAGCTGGTTAGAGCTCAGCCTTGTAACACAAAGGTCAGGGATTCGGATCCCCATCTAAGGGGTCGATCCCCATACTGGCCAACTACTGAAACAAAAAATAAAAAACCCCTGGTGCAATACCTACATAGCACATAATAAAGCTCAGGACTTACCATATAGCCCCTGCATATTAGTTACGGGTTTCATGAGAGCAAATAAAATGTAGATATTTTAAAACATTTCTAGTGAGAGAGATGCCTCTAGCTCAGGGTTTTTTAATAGCAGCACAATTGACATTTTGGATCAGCAAATTTTTTGCTGTGGGGGGGCTGTTCTGTGCCTGGTAAGATGTTAGGATCCCTGACCTCTACCCACTAGATGCCGGTAGCACCCCCCTCCCTTCTGTGAAACCAAAAATGTCTCCAGACATTCCCAAATGTCCCCTGGGAGGACAAAATCATCCCCAGTTGAGAACCTTTACTCTAGATCCTCTACCTTTGAGAGAGATTCGAGCAGTTTGATGTTGGACTGAGCAAATGCAGGGAAACTTCTCCAGTAAATTTGCTCATTTCAGATTAATAAATTCTTTTATAAAGGAGAAAATTTAAAAAATATCGATAAACTAAGGAACAAGGTCTAGGACCTGAAAATGTGAAATCAGATTGTTGAAAATGAGATCTGGGAGCAGCGGAAACCTGAATCTGCTTTTGCTGCCATCTGTGGGTACGCTCCAGGGTTAATGGTACTTATGCTGTGACTCAGTGTGTCGTTCACATGCATCTGTTTGCTTATAGGTGGAGGTGGAGGTTTACGACTTCTTCTTTGCAAAGAGTGTGCCTATTTCAGTCCACATCTCCATCAGAACAGCAGACACAAATGCCCCCCGAGTATCCTGGAATACAGGTAAAGCTCAATATAAGGCATCAAGTGCACAGCCCTGAGGGGAGTACTAGAAAGTAGACAGGTCAGGAAAGAAAGGTAATTTTACTCCCATTTCACATATGAGGCAACTGAAACCCAGACAGATGAAGGGCATCGGACAGTTGTTTTTGCTTTGTTTTCTTTTGCTTGTTCCTGGCGGCAGGGTGAGAAATAAAATGTAGGACTCCTGTATCCTGATGCCAAGTTCTTTCCTCTGCAGGAGATAAGCCAAAAGGACACTTTTTAGTTAAATGATGCAAAAAAGTGACTATTTGTGATATTGAGCTGTAGTTGGACTGAGAGAGATAAGGTCTCTCACTCAAATTGTTTAGAGGCTTTGAAGGAAGGTGTACGCTTTGTAATTCATTGTCTTATTTTTATGTTGGGTTGCATGGAAACCAAAATACATAAATAAACACTAACACTACTAAAAAAAGGCTTTGCACTGCCTCTCAATTCTGAGTGGACTTACAATGTGATGTATATATTTAGATCAGATGTAAATATGGAATGTAAATTAAATTTTTTCTTTTCTCACTAATACATCATTAGCATTCAAAACATACTTATAAGTAGTGGTAAGTAAGTTGTATCAAGGGGAAAGTATGTGTCTGATTTAAATTCTCAGGTGTCAGCTTAAAGGAATTGCCATGTGAATTTCAGTAGAGATGGAGAACATTGGCCGAGCAGTCTTGATTTATAATTTTGACTCTACATCCCACTCTACCTCTGTTAGAGGGATAATGAGAGAAAAGAAGGAATTGGTAACCTAAAGTTGAGTAGTAATCACAGTTTACATGGATTATTGCTTGAGTGTAGAGACTGAATAGTCTATATGTGTGTGTGTGTGGCACACCTAGGTTAAGGAACTCCACATCTGGGTTGGTGACTTTGGATATCAGAATCCTTATTAAAATGAATTTTTACTTATTATGAACTTAATGTGTGCCATCATTGAAAATTTGGAGAATACATTAAATAGGCTTTTAATTATTCATTGTTCCACCAAGAAGACATAAGCACTGTTAGTATTTTGTTATGCATATTTCTAGTCTTCTTGGTTGCTCCTCTGCTGTGTCCCATGATGTCCTGTCCTGTGCTGTACTGGGTGTTTGTGGCTTCAGAACCTTTCCTGCTGTCACAGAGATTCTTTGTAGGTGCTGTCCCCCTCCCTCCCTCCTTCCTTCTCTCCCTCCTTTCTTCCCCTCTTCCTCCCTTCCTTTTTCCCTTTCTCTCTCTTTCTCTTTCATTCATATATTGTATGCCTTAGCCCAGTTTCCTAGAAAATAGACCCTGAGGCAGATCAATATGTACTACACTGAAAACAAGCATAAAGGGAGATGCAAATAAAAACGGGGAGTGGCTGAGCTGGTCACAGCTTTACAATAAGATAAAGCAGATGTCTCCAGGGAGGAGACGGAACCACTGTGTCTGCAGGAAGAGTTGGAGGTGGGGTGGGGAAGAGGTGAACCATCTGTCTGTCAGTTTCCTCCCATTTCCTGTGTCTGATTGGTCAGTTTGCTTCACTGGGTGTTAGCTCCCCAAGTTTCCAGGTTGTGTTACCTGGCTCCTCTGAGCAGCCACTGCACAAACTCCCTGGGGGTCCCCTGGAGCAGGATCTGGCCAGGTCATGAGAAAGGTCATGTGACCAGAGGGCACTTGAGGTAACCAGCTGCCTCAGAAGACAAGGCAATGGTGGCAGGAAGCCTGTACAATTTCGTAGACTGTGGGAACCCTCTGGGGGCTGCTCCACCTAGAAAGCAGGCAAATAGTCGGGCCAGGGAGGCAGAGGAAGCTGGCAGATTTGAGGGGAAGCATGAACTAGGTCCACCAATACACTGTCTTTAAATTCAATCAACTTGTTTCATTAAAAAGCTCTGCCCCCTTTCAAGATTCTCCACTGTCTGTTGGTTCCCCGCTCTGCTGGGTAATGGGAATGTCTGACAATGCTACAGCTCTAGCCGGAGCGATTCGTCCCGAGTCTGAATTCTTCTTGCTCTGACCAGCAAGCAAATCTTTCTCCACAGATTTCCTCCAGCATGCTGGGTCCAAGGAAAAGGTTTTATTTTAATTCCATTAGTTACAAAAGTCTCTTCCTTATTAGAGTCTAAACTAAAATGCAGCCCTCATCGCACAATGTCAGGCACCTTGTCTATCATCATTATAACCCCCTGACACAGTATATTTGCAGTTACATGTTTAATTTACACATTATGTTCTCCATCCTGTGGGCTACATATGCTGTCATAAATTCTATGTAAAAAGCACTTCTGACTCTTTTGCCTACTTAAAATATCTGGATGTAGCCTTTGAAAAATTCCTTGTGGACCTTTTTGAACTAGAGACCACTGTGAACATAATGTCTCTTCTTTCCCTCAGTATTTGTTTTCTGGCACCATCATGCTTCTAAAGGATATATCATAAGGAATGAGCTGTCAGACTGAAGTTAATGTGACTAAAAATAAAAGCTACAGTCCAGTTTCTTGAGAAGCTTTTGAAGATACAATTTTCAGATAGTTCCATAGGTGGAAATTCATTAATCTTTCCTTTAAGCAGGTGTATCAGCATGTCCTAGTACTTTCCAAGACACTTTCCTGCTTTATCTTGTAGGTCTGGATCTCCTGGAGGGGCAGTCTCGGGCCCTCACTTGGGAACAGTTTCAGATTGTTGACAATGATGACATTGGTGCTGTCCAGTTAGTCACTGTGGACGGCCTACAGCATGGACGGCTTACAGTAAGAGGTGAACGATCGACTTGTAACTTAGAAAAGGACCCAGGAAGTGTTTTCTTCAAAAGCAAATCATACTTAACAGCATGTACATAGCATCTCTTGGGTCCCATTTCTGAATGAAATTGTCATATCCAGAAAACCTGGAGATCTTGAAACCATCAGCTTTTGTGTTAAGATGCTCAAGATACCATTTATGTATGAAAGGTACCTTGTGCTTGGCTCACTATTTAAACCTCAGTTTTGCTTTCTGGACGCCATGTAGGGCTCTTCTAAATATACTCCTTAACTGATTGTCTTGTACCTGTTGGAAGACAAAATACTTCCCTCATTTCTCTGCTTCAGAGAAATCTATTGAAAAACAGAAAAAAAAATTTTTCTTAATACTTTAGTAATAATGATGTTGTTATATTATTATTTGTAGTTGTCATAATTTAAAAGAAATAAATTTATAATTATACTAATAAGCATGGTGGTTAACAAGGTAATAATAGCCCCAATAAAAATAATATTCATACTTCATGATAAAATCATCAATTCCTTGTAATGAGATCAGAGGATTGAATTCAATTATCCTCTTAGGCTGACTGTAAAGCAGAAAGAGAACTCTCATTTGTCATCATTTGTGATTAGGGAATTTTGAAATAAAATGACAAATTCATGATAAATTCTCCTGCCTAATCTCAGGATAGTGGGTGGGCAGTTTAAATCTGGGGGTATCAGTTAGAGTGGTTGTTCAGCCCCATGTAAGAGAATCCCAACTACATGGCTCAAAAATTAGAGTCATTTTCTTCATATCTTAGAGGCTGGAGGAGATAGAAGGGACAATGCAAGAAACCATGCTGTCTAAGTTTGCTGTCTTTAGCAAGTTTTCCCAGGAGCCCAATGCAACAACTTCCACTTACATCTCCTTGTCAGACAATGTCACGAACAACCCCTTGGTGCAATAAAGGCTGGGAACCTAAGTGTTTTTATTTTTTTTTATTTATTTATTTATTTTTTTTGTCTTTTTTCCGTGTCCGGCAACGGATCGCAACCCTCAGTGTTGCCCCCGTACCGGACCGGGGACCGGGAACGGGATCGCAAGCCTCGGCGTTGCTCCCGCGCCTCGCTCAGCCAGTGAGCGGGAGCCGGTCTGCATGTGGGATCCGAACCCTCGGACGGGAGCGCCGCCGCGCTTCCCAAGCGGCGCACCATCCAGTGCGCCACCGGGCCGGCCCAACCTAAGTGTTTTTAAATAGTCACAATGCCATGCCAAATAAAACTAGGATTCTTGTAGTAAAGAAGAGGCAGACAATGGCTATGGGGCAAATAAATAGTAGTGTCCCTTACACTAGTATTTAATCATTTATTCTCTAAGTTCTTTAATACAGCCATATAGTGTGAGGAGAGTGCACCTGACATCAAGAATTGTAGTTGTCTGTGCAGAAAATTAAGCATGTTTATTAATACTGTACACATGAAATGGGGAGTGATAGCTCATAATGCAGATTCCCTGGGCTTGGAGGAGGTAGAAACTAGTATTGACATTTATTAAGTATTTACTTTGTGCCAGATACTATGCAAACCATTTCACATTCTTTATCTCATTTTATCTCATGTAAATGTTGTGAAGTGAGATACTATTATTATTCCTATTTTACGAGTGGAGAACTTGAGACTTAAAAGTAGTTGACTTATCTAAGGTTGTATACCTAGAAAGTGGAAAAACTGGGATTTCAACTCCATCTGTTTGATGTGAAAACTCTAGCTCTCAGCCTTTAAGCCAGTGATTCTCAAACTTTAGCATACATTAGACTCCACAGGAGGGCTTGATAAAACACAGATTGGTGGGACCTACCTCCAGAATTTCTGGTTCTGTAGGTCCAGGGTGAGGCCTGAATATTTGCATTTCAAACAACTTCCAAGATGGTGCTGATGCTGCTGGTTCCAGACCACTCCTCTGAGAACTGCTGCCACGTAGGATGATAACAATGAAGAATATCCAGCATTCACTGTAGAGTTAGTATTGTTTAAGTTCTCTCATCCTTGCTATGGAATATGAAATAGGTATTTGTATTTGTCAGTGTTCTCCAGAGAAACAAAGCCAATAGGATGTATATGGATATATATATATATATAAAAGGAGATTTATTATGGGAATTGGCTTACACAATTATGGAGGCTGAGAAGTCCCATGATATGCTGTTGGAAAACCAGGAAAGCCAGTGGAGTAATTTAGTCCTAGTTTAAAGGCCCGAGAACCAGGGGTGCTGATGGTGTAACTCCCAGTCTGAGCAAAGGCCTGAGAAGCAAAGTGGGTATGGAGGAGTAGATGGGGGTGCTGGTGTAAGTCCCAGGGTCCAAAGTCCCAACAACTGGGAGCTCCAATGTCTGACGGCAGGAGAAGTTGGAAGCCAGCTTCAGAAGAGAGAATTCGCCTTTTCTCTGCCTTTTGTTCTATTCAGGCCCTCAATGGATTGGATGATGCCCACCCCATTGGTGAGAGTGATTGTCTTCATTCAGTCTATTGATTCAACTGCTCATCTCTTATGGAAACACCCTCCACACAGATCCATCCAGAAATAATATTTCACCAGCTATCTGGGCATCTCTTAGCCCAGTCAAGTTGACACATATAGTTAACCATCACAGTATTATTATCTTTGTTTTATTGGTGAGTCTGAAATAAATAAAATATCTTGCTAAGTTTGCACAGCTAATAAGCATTACAGCCAGTATACAAAACCAGATCTGTCGTGTCCTGGAGCCCACCAAACAATCTAGTGTTTTTCCAGATGGGGGAACTATGGGCTGCACCATTTTCCTTAACACCCTGTCCTGTAGTGGTGCTTTCTCTGCAGCTGCTGCCTCTGTGCTCCCTGGTTCAATCTGCTCCACCTTTGCTCTCTCCATTAGGGGGGAAAGGCTTTCTCTTCACTGTGGCTGACCTTCAGGCTGGAGTTGTTCGCTATCACCATGATGACAGTGACTCTACCAAAGACTTTGTGATCTTCAGGATATTCGATGGCCATCACAGCATCCATCACAAGTTTCCTATCAACATCTTGCCCAAAGATGATAGCCCTCCATTCCTCATCACCAATGTTGTGATTGAACTGGAAGAGGGGGAGACCATACTGATCCAGGGATCCATGCTGAGAGCTTCAGACATGGACTCCAGTGATGACTACATCTACTTTAATATCACAAAAGCCCCAGAGGCTGGAGAGATCATGAAGAAGCCAGGGCCAGGACTGATAGGTAAGTTCTTGGAAGTTAAGATCCTATAAATTGAATTGAGCCTTCCATAGAGAGCTTTCTATGCACCCTGTGGGCTTGCTGAAATTGTGTCGGAATTTGTGCTAAGATTGAACATCAAGATTATGAAGTAAGATAATATTACTATTCCCATTTTATAGACAGGAAGCCTGAGACTTAGGGAAGTTAAGCTGATCTATCCAAAGTTGTTCACCTAGAAAGTTCCAGAGCTGAGCCTCTAGGTAACCATTACACTATGAAAAGTTGTCTGCCAACCAAGGTGATAGGACAAATAAGTCTGAAGAGAGATGCTTGACCTATTCTACATTATTGATAGAGTAATTTCATGAATAACGTTTGTTTACAACTTGTTAGAATAATTTCATAACTTCTTAACTAGGTAGGAGCTAGACAAAATAGGGATGAAGTAAGTAGCTAGTGTCATTTTGTATATTATGAAATAAGACTTTCTTGCAAATTTTTTTTAATGCTTATTTTTCTACATGTTAAGACAGGTGAGCAACTTTAGTTTTTCTGCTTTATTATTTATAAGTTTTGATAAAACATTTAATATAGATTCCTTGGGTGCATACAACATACTAGGCAGAGAAGTCTTTTGGAGATAAGTCCACTATCATTGTACCCCAACATCTGGTAGACTTATGCAAAAGTATGTGGTGTTTTGTGGACCCAATAGGCTATCCTGTTCCTGGCTTTCTTCAGAGAGATCTATTTAATGGGATAATTTACTATCGTCATTTTGGTGGAGAAATCTTTGAAGATTCTTTTGAATTTGTCCTGTATGACAGTCATGAACCTCCAAATCTCTCACTGCCACAGGTAAGAGACCATTTCCAAACACTCTCTCAAAGTCTTGTACACAAATTATCAGTTCTGGGAGATGGTATTGGAAACCATAAGGAAATATGTTCAAGGTTCAAAGTTTGAGAAGCAATGGATTAAGTAAAATTAAGCAGATTTGTTCACAACAGGACAATTCAAGCATTTACTTTTCTAAAGAGTTTTGTGAATTTTTACATACTCAGTGTTCCAAGGTTACTTAACTATGGCATCCTTTTATATAGAACACCTCACAAAATTTTCTTGCTTTCTAACACTGAAGAACACACTTTCTTTATGGATAGTGATTAAAGTAAAGGCTCTAGAGTTAGACTTCCTGAGTTTCCCTGTTGACCTTGACATTAATTGGTCAACCTGCACTTCAGGTTCCTCATCTGTGAAACAGGTAATAATAGAACCTTCCTACAGAGTTATTGTGAGGGTAAGTGACACCGTTCACATAAAGTATGGAACTTTCTGGTACATGGTAAACACTCAATAAATAAATTAGCTACTATTTGTTGTCATCTTTGAAGATCTAAGAGTTTTACTACCACTAAAGGATATCATTTAAATATGAAGGTATGTTAAAAAGTTCATGGAAAATGGAATTAAAAGATAATACAAACCTTTCCATGAACTTTTTGAAGTACCCTCATATACAGAATGCAGAAATAGGTTTAAGCAAGCATTGTCGTATAGAAATCGCAGAAAATAGAGTCAGTGTAGTGTCTGGACAACTATAGAAGGATAGATTCCTTGCAAGGGGGGTGGGTGGCTGGTAATAAGGGTTTTAAAAAAAGAAAGCTGAAATTAAGTGATCACTTACTATGTACTGTACTTTTTGCTACATGTTTTGTACCTGTTATCTTGGAAGGTAGCATGTATATCTTGAACTTGCTCTAGAATGACTATTTACAGCATGTTTCTGAATTGTCATATAATGCCTCTCATGATGTCACAGTCACTGGCATTAGCCAATGCATAGATGCTCGAGCTATTCATCTGTTTGCTAACAAGAATATAACAGAAGGGCACGATCAGGAAGAATGATGTCCAAGAGCTCAGAAACTGAAAGAAGTAGGTGATCCCTGTTAGGAAGGAAGGAAGAATGAACGAGAGAAGCCTCGATTCATCTGCTTTTTGACTAACAAGTCAACTGCTTTTCAAATAATAGCCCCTTCCTTTAATCAATGTATTACATGTCATTTCTAGATTCAATTTTTGCTTGAGACCTTAGTTGATTTGGTGTTCAAAATGTTAACTAATAGAGTTTATTTCGAAATCTGTGTATCTATTCAGCATGAGTTATTTTTCTGACTAGAATACCATATCACTTTTAGCAGACCACATGTCACTTTTAAATAAAAATCTCACAACTTTTTTCCTCTTTTGTCGTGAAGTATTTTATAAATCATGTTTTTCATACACACAAATACAGATATCAGCTCCCTCTACAATAAGGACTAAGGTAATGAAAACTTTTTAAAACAGAATTATTTTGAAATACTGGCAAACAAATCAGACTAGACTCTATAGATTCAATTATAAGTTCATTCCCTATGACCAATGGGTTTCTAAAGAAGTCAGAATCACATTTTTCTCTGTTTTCACCTTAACTTATGTTGAGAGAGAGAGAGAGAGGTCTATAAATTTACCTGTTTTCATATACCATGCATTCTTTGGCTTCTAAATATTACCCTTCTACCTGACATCTCTACATATATGTCTCAACAGCATTTTAAACTCATCATGTCCAAAAAAACATTTAATATGCTTCTCTAAAAACTTGCACAAAACTGCCATAGCTAGAATCTCTAACTCCTTTCTCTAACATCTGCATAACCAATGAGCTAAATCTACTTGATGAGTGTCTCCCATCTCTCTCTACCTCCCCACCCCACTTCCATTGCTGTAGTTCCAACATTCCTCTTTTCTGGACTACGTTATCTTCAGAATCCCTCACATGACCTTTTAGCAATAGAAGAGATTAGCCGCATCCTTGTGGTTGTGAACAATTAAGACCCATTGACACAGGAGCAGTATGCTTAGTGGAATTTGAGCACCTATTTCTTCCTGTTCTCTCTCTTCTGGTATGTGGTAGCTTTAGCTTAGTTCCCCTCTAAACTATAGGCCTGCTCTCAGCGGTAACATCACCTGCTCCAGAAATCCTCTGATGACCCTATTCCACAACCCCCCAGGCCGGATCGGCTTGTCCTTTTATAAGCTCTGGTATCTCTCTACACATATCTTTGTTATAGAACTTTCTATAATGTTAGGCCATTGTTTGTTTTATTGCATTGACTCTGAGCTCTCTGATGGCAAGGACCCTGAATGACTCATCTCTGTGTCTTTAGATTTTGGTACTGACCCAGAATAGAACCTTAAGGTCTATTTGCTGATCCCCAAATAAACTCTGGTTCTTCCAGTTTTTATTGAAATTAGTAGGAAATAAGAAGCTTCAAACATTTGGTAGGGACTGAGGAGGGAATGAGCTGGGGGAGGTAATAAGTATAAAGCTTTATTCTTCAGAGCTTCTAAGAGTTAGTGTGTGCATACCAACAAAACAAGTATTGTGTGTGTGTGCTGGTAAGCATTTTTATATTGTAAAACTCTGATATTAGCATTGAAACTCCAATTTTTAAGGAACTTAAATGATTATCTAGTACATTTGATAATTACATCCTCAGTTCGGACAAATATCTAGTCATGTCCTACAAACAAAAATATATTTAACATATTCAACAAAATCTGTAACTTTCAGCTGGTCAACTAAAAGTCCAGATAAGATGGTTATTTGATGATAGCTTTTGTGATCAGAAGTTTCCATGGTTTTGATTTACTTTGGTGCTGTTGTCACCAAAGCACAGATCAGTAGTGACAATTTTGTCTACAACCATGGTGTTCATAATTCCAATATAAAAGTGAAGATAATTTCTTTTTAAATTGACATACAAAGCAAAAATTAAAACATGGTCAAGCTTTTGCTATGGTATAAAAGAAGACTGAAACATAAGCTCAGACACCTACAAGCTGTGGTCCAGGAGAAAATCATTTAACCCTGTTGGGCTCAGTTTTTTTTCCTCTGTACATTGGGAATAATAACAATGTCTATTATAAAGCAGTATTGTAAGGATCAAACAACACAGCCAGTAGCACAGTGAGTACCCAGTATGTAAAAAGTACTCAATAAATATTTCCCTGTCTCTATCCTTTCATTATTTTTACAAAAGCTTATGGCATGTTTTCTATTCATTATAAAACATTTCAATAATTAAAGACTAAAGCCTTATTTTATCAAAATAAGAGAACACAATGACAGTCATTTCTCTAGTCTCCTGGAGTCCATGTCATGATTTTTTTCTCCCCAATTATAGTATTTTGCTAATCTACAAAGTTCAGAAATTCTCTATGGGACCTCCCAGCCAGAGAGTGGATCAGTGAGGCTCCACTTAATTGAAAAACTGGATTTAATAAGGAAACAATAGTTATTGTGCCTTCAAAGAGACCATTTTCCATGCCAATTTATTCTCCAGTGTGTTCTTTGTGTAAAAAGAATGTACAGGCATGCTTTTTTATACCCCTGTAGTAATTCTTAGTGGGCACATTTTCAACATGCTTTATAATTGCCTAAGTTGATGTGTTTTTACATATTTATGTATGTTCAAACAATTATTGTATGTGTCTGTGGGTAAGAAAAATCCTATTTTAACAAACTCCATAGAGAAATAAAGTGTTCTCAATATACTGAAATTTGGTTGCAACAAAGACATTATTAAACATCCATTCCCAGGCAAACAATGGAAAGAAAACTAGTGCTCTGACCGATTGCTGGGCTTTTGCTCGTTGGCTTCCCCCATGTCACTCCAGTCTACTTATGGCCACATAGACTTGTAAGAAATTAGAATATTAAGTAATGGATCAGTATACAAAATGACAAAGCCTAATCTTGGCCCTCAGATCCAGCTCACAACCAAGATAGAAAGACTTCGCGTGGCAGACTGTGCAAAGACACACAATGCCAAGCAAATGTATCATTTCCAGAGAGGGTAATAGCTTTCTTGCAACCAATCATGGATTATTGTTTACAAAAAAAAAAAAAGTGATGATAAAAGCTGTTTGGCAACATTTTTCCCCTAAAGCATGATATAAACCTGTGAATGTGGTTTTAAGACTTAAAATTAGAAATGGGCATGAATGAGTTATTCAGTTAAACGTTGATGAAGTGTCTTCAGCATACAAAAAATTGTGCAAGATTTTGTGGAGATACAGAAAAAAATATAATATTTATTGAGCACCAATTACGTGCCAAATATTTTACCTACATAGTGATATTTGATCCTTTTAACAACTCTGTGATGTGTGCTTAACTTACGAATAAGAAAACTGACACTCATAAAAGTTCAGTAAATTGTTCAAGGTCAAATAGCTGCTAGTGACTGTTATACTTAGGACTTGAACTTTCTGTTTACTGTCAAGCTCCACGTGGTTTGTACCATGCCATGATCCTGGAACTTTCCGTCTAGGAAAGAGACTGACTTAAACTGACTAATAATACAAGACAAGGAAATACAAGTAAATATGTTGGTTGAGCAGTGCCTTAGTTTGTTCATGCTGCTAGAACAAAATACCTGAGACTGGGTAATTAATAAATAATGGAAATTAATTTTCATAAATAAATTTATTTCCATAAATAAGCCATAGGATTTCACCCCTAGCTTCCCCAAATTCATGGCCTTCTCACCTATGAATGCATTCATTCTGTCCCAACAACCCCCAAAGTCTTAACTCATTCCAACATCAACTCAAAAATCTAAAGTCTCATCTAAACGTTATCTAAATCAAATATGGATGAGACTCAAGGTCTGATTCATTCTGAGGTAAATTTCCCCTCCAGCTGTGAGTCTATGAAATTAAACAAGTTATGTGCTTCCCACAATGGTGGGATAGGCATAGGATAGACATTCCCATTATAAAAGAGAGATAATAGTCAAGAAAAAAGGGATAAGTAGTTCCAGGTAAGTCCGAAACCTAACAGGGCAAATAACATTAAATCTAGAGACTTGAGAATAGTCTTCTTTGACTCTGTCCTGCCTTCTGAACATACTGGGCAGGGATTGGACCCTCAAGACCCCAGGCAGCCCCACTGCTATGGCTTTGCTGGGTGTGGTCCATGCGGCAGCTGTCAGACGTTGGAGTTGGGTGTTGGTGGCTCTTCCAGGATGTTGCACACTGGTGGCTCCACAGGTCTGGGGTCTCTGGATTAGCCTTGATTCCACAACTCTGCTGGGCATTGCCCTAGTGAGGACTCTATGGCAGCTTCTCCTCTGTGGCAGCTCTCTCCCTGAGCCTAGAGGCTCTGAAAGGCATCCTTTGAAATCTAGATGGAGGTAGCCTGGGCTCCACAGCTCTTGCACTCTGCATGCCTGCACAGTTGGCATTGTACAGATGCTGCCAAGACACTTGTACCTTCCAGAGTGGTGGCTCAAGTTGCACCTGGACCAACTTGAGCCACAGCTGGGGTGGCCAAGCACTGGAATGTGGTGAGCAGACACTTGAAGCTTTTCTGGGCAATGATCCCTGAGGTCCCTTGGATCCTCTGGGCTCCTCCCTTGAAATTGTCCTGCTTTCAAGGCATTGGCATCTGGGCCTTTGATCCGAGTGGCAGCCTTAAAGATCTCTGAAATGCCTTTGGGCTCATTCTCCCATTGTCTTGATAAATAGCAACTGGCTTCCTTCTATCCATATTAATCTCCTTATCAGACAGGCACTTGACCACACCCTTGTTGTTCTACCCTTCATGCTTTTTAATTCTTAACATGACAAGGCTGAGAATTTTCCAGATATTTAAATTCTGCTTCCTTTTTGATTGTAAATTCTGTCTTTAATTCATTTCTCTCTTCTCTCATTTTACTATAAGTAGTCAATAGAAGCCATGCAACACCCTCAACACGTTGTTTAGATATTTCTTCTGCTAAATATCCTAGTTCGTCACTCATAAGTTCTGCCTTACACAGAGTACTAAGAGATCCACCCAATTCAGCCAAGTTCTTTGCCACTTTATAATAAAGATGGTCTTTCCTCCAGTTTCCAATAAGATATTCATTTCACTTCCATTTAAGACCTCATCGAAATGGACTTTACTGTCCATGTTTCTACCAATATTCTTATCATGACCACTTAAGTAATCTCTAAGAAGACTGAGGCTCTGTCTAGAGCTCTTCCCTTCTGAGCCTCACTTGAATTGCTTTTTATGGCCTGTTCATGGCAATATAGGATTTTTATAGCCTGCTCCTCCAAATTCTTGCAGTTTCTACCCATTACTCAGTGCCAAAGCTGCTTTTGCACTTTCAGGTATTTGTTACAGC